TCAAACATTATTTTTGTCGATGACATTAAAATAAAAATCAAGATTAAAAAAATAATATATGATTTATATTGAGATACTCCTCATAAATAACACATTACTAGTTTTTCTTCTATTTATGCTAAGAGAAAAACTTGCACCAAAGGTCATTAATTTTACTCTTTATAACGAGACCCACGCCTTACAACAAGCAATGGCAATCATGTATGTGCCAACTTGGCGACTTCGTTATGACCAAGATCTTAGTTGATTCAATTATGTGAAAAAACAAAAGGTAATGTTTCAACAATACATAAAAAGTAATAATAGTAATTATAATAATAGTGATAATAATTATAATAATAATAATAATTATAGTTATAATTATGATAATGATTGTAGTAATAATAATAATTACAGTGAAAAAAAATAATATCATTCATGATAACAATTATATAACTAACGTAGATAATAAGTTTGTAATAGTTTTTAATAGTGACAATAAAAAGGAAAAATATCATCACTCATGGCAATAATTATATAATTGAATTAAATAATAAAACAACAGGTAAAAAAGAGAAAATATCATCACTCATGACAATAATTATACAATTGAATTAGATAATAAAACAATAGGTAATTTTGTAATAATTTTTAATAGTGGTAATGATGAGAAAAGAAAATAACATCATTTACAATATTAATTATGAAACTAAATTAAATGGTAAGTGAGCAAGTAATTTTGTAATAATTTTTTTTAAATGATTTTATACCTTGTTATATAGGTATGAACAAACTTGTAAATTAAAAGTATTACATCAAATATCAACAGATGTAATAGAAAGTAGGCTTGTATCAAGATGATAATGTCCGGCAAAAATCCAAGTAGCTTAGAAATAAGATTTATGTGTTAAATAATTGATTAATTTTCTAGATCTAACCATTTGATTTATTTTTTTAGCTAAGGTGTCTGGTAGCCTGTAAATGTTGCTCGATAAGCCAATATGACTGATGGTTGAAACTAGAGATGTTCAAAAAAACCAAGAAAACCAAGAAAATCAAAGAAAATTTTACTGAAAAAACTAAACTGAGATGAAAAATCAATTAAATCGATTTTCAAAACCATAAAATCTAATCGATTAGGTTAAGTTTTGGTTTTATAATTGAAATTGATAAATTGAACCGATCTAACCTAAAAAACCTAATATCTATATAAAAAAAGGAGTACAAATTAACTTAATCCTAGCATAACCCCCCACAACCCCTAACAAAGAGCCGCCGCCAAAAAATACTTCTCCCATTCTTCCTTTTCTTTTCATCTATTTTGCATCTCATTTCCTTCTTATTCTTGGCTAATAAGATCAATTAGTTAAATTACTCGTGGGAAATTCCCATATACTTTTTTACTAGCCTTTCCTTTTCATTTGTTTTGCATCTCATCTCCATCTTATTCTTCCTTTCCTACATTATCTAGCTGAATACAAACCTATCTCTCCATCTTCCTGGCTTCACCTTTTGATTCTCTCTTTTTCTTTGAACTTTAAAGGTAATTTTTAATATCATATGTCCATCGTAAATATTTGAAACCTTATGTTTTTACCACCTGACTTTGCATGAAAAAGATAACAAAAGGAATATCTCAGTGGTCTCCTCCAATCTATTCACATATTTCTTAATTGAATCCTTTTTTTAGTGTTCTAGAAAAGATGACCTGCATGAACATGAAGTATTTGAACATATATATTTGTATTAAATCAGATCTTATACGGCTAAATCTTATCAAACATGTTATGAAAATTGGTTAAAGAGAAAATTTTGATTTTAGCAATATTATTTGATTAGGTTTTAATGGTTTAGGTTTACCAGTTTTATTTAAAAAAACCCAAATCAAACTGGTTAGATTTATTTTTTAGTCTAAACTGAACTGAACCTTGAATATCTTAGTTGGAACCTAGAAAATATCCATTTTTGTAGATTTAGAAACTCTTAAATACTTAAATATTTTTTTAAAAAGAGAAGATACAACGATATTTTAGAAAAATATTCTTTGAAAATATGTATATTAAAAATATTAAAAATAAAAAAATTATAAATTTAGAGCTTAAATGATTCATGAGATACATATTACTTATAAATTTTACTTTTTTTTAAAAAATGACTAAATTATTATATTAAATTAATAGTATTTAATAAAAAATAAATATAACAAGTCATTCAGATATTTTTATAAAACTAAGAGCGTATAAAAAATAGATTATACAAAGTAGTTGAGCGCATGAGCTATTACTCTAAACTAGACCAATAGATCCTTTCTTCGGCCGAGCTGAAAGGAGGTGGATCGTCCAAGAAAACATGGGCGCTTTTCTTGGTTGTGCCTAAGGGGGCCGGGTTTGTCCCTTTGCCATGATGAAGGAAGCCATGCTTATTTTTTAGGCAAAACCAATTATATTATGTGGTGCAACTTTTTAAGCTGGTCTAGATATCCACGTTAATCTAAAAAAAATTATATTACTTTCGACAAAGGGGCCGGGTTTGTCTCTTTGCCATGCTGAAGGAAGCCATGCTCATTTTTTAGGCAAAACCAATTATATTACGTGGTGCAACTTTCTAAACTGGTTCATTTATATTAATTGTGGTGCACGCAAGCTGGTCCGGATATCACCTAAATCTAAAAAAATTATATTACTTTCGACAACTTTCTAAACTTATGTTACTCAAAGTGTATTGGGTTCGGCCTAGGTGAGACCAAAAAGAAATGAGTCCTTTTTTTAGTCGTATCCAAAAAAGTTGTGTTATTGGCCGAGCCCTGAAAAAAAAAGGATCATTCTTTTAGTTATGTCTAAAAAAAGGGTCTTGAAAGGTTGTTCCCTAATCGTGCTCAAGAGAGATAGGTCGTTTTCTTTATCGTGCTTAAAGGAGATGCGTTGTTCTTTTAGCCAAGTTTAAGGAAGAAGGGTGATTCTTTTGGTTATGCCCAGAAAAGATGATGTCATTCTATTTGTCATGCTAAAGAAGAAAAGATGTCATGCTTTTGGTTGAGCAGAGAAGGTTGTTTTCCTAATCATATCTAAAAGCATGGTCATTCTCGTGGCTGAACTCCTTTCCTTGACTATCTAAAAGAGAAAAAAAGATGAAAAAGGGTCATTTTCTTTGGTTGTGTTCGAGGGAGATGATGTCATTCTCTTAGCCGTGCAAAGGAAGATGAGTTGTTTCTCTTATATGAGAGTTCTTTCCTTGGCATCGCCATTACTCTCTCACACCTTTGTCCAAATCCACTGGTATTCCTATAATCCTATTCCATTTTCAAAATTCAAGTCTTTCTTTGTTCACTCTATTAATTTCTCGACCCTTGAAAACATCAAACCCTTTAAATGACTTTTCAACAAGAACCAAAACAGGGTATTTGTAAAATCTTGAAAAACAAATGTGGTCTTTAGCTTCTAAGATCCAGGACCCATTTTGCGGTAATTTCACGACCCATTTCATTCAAGTGACTAATATCAAGCATTTTGAGCATCAATCTCCATCCTTTAAGGGTACGTAGCTAGTAGAAATTTTGGTTTTTGTGTTTTTTTGGTAAAGATTTTTTTTTTGTAGGCTCATTGTAGATCACTGACTTGTAAAGCTGCATGTTTGGGTTTCGGTTTTAACTATTTATGACACCGTTTATGATCGCAAAAGAAAGTTGCATTGCTGTGCTTGAAGGGGTTGTCATAGACTCATATGTACTTTGGTTTCCATAAACTTTTTGCAACATCCGAGACACGTTTTAAATTTTGGCAAATCCAAGATTTTTTTGCTTGGCCCTGCGTGTTTAGTGAAGGTTCTATTTTGGGTTCCAGACAGTTGTTAAGATTATAAGCAAACGTATGAAAGAGAACAGCTTTATCGGCTTTCAAACCTTATATTTATCGTAATCAGGTGGAAGGACAATGAGCCTTTAAGTGGATTTGGATGCTCCTTTTCTAGCAACTGTAGTACTGATTCGAAATCGTATGGAGGTGGATCTCAAGGTTGGTATTCCTTTGGATTAGTTTGGATGACATCTATAAGAACACTGTCTCCTTTGCCTAGAGCTGGAACCTTATTAAACGGGGAAGCCTGTCAAGTGGCTTCTCCTTTGTCCAAGTCCTCCTATTCCCAGAGCTACCCCTCTTCTGGTGGATTGTTACCATCAATTTTCGGTTTGTCAGATTCTCAAGCTTTTGTTTATGGCGTTTGATCTTCAAGACCTTTGGAGAGGTCAAAACCCAAGCAAGCTTGGAAGAGAGCCCTTTCCATTTCTTCGTTCGTTTTGTTTTGTTGGACTAACCCGAATTGTCTTGATGAATTTATCAGTGAATTTAATGTCAAAGCAACGAGCTCTTTTGTTTGAGGTGGTATCTGTTACTGAAAACTTTAATGAGCATCAAGATATGACAAGAAATGCAACAACATTGGCAGAAAGCGTAGGACTTGAGAATAATACCACACTGGAGCCACAAGCGAAGGAAAAGGAGTTAAGGGATGGAATTTCTAATGATATCTCTATTAGCTTATCACTCTCTGAAGATGAAGATCTGGTGTCTCAAAAGCTTTTGATCATCGTGACCCCAGCACATGCTCGACCACTTCAAGCCTGTTATCTGAATCGTTAGGTGCATACATTAAAACTGGTTCAACCTCCTCTATTATGGGTAGTTGTGGAAATCACGTCGCAATCTGAACAAGCGGCTGACATCTTGAGGAGGACTGGGGTTATGTATAGGCGTCTTGTCAGGAAGAAAAACCTATCTGATATGAAAGACCGAAGTGTCCCACCAAGGGAATGTCGCATTGTCTCACATTGAAACCCATCGCCTTGATGGAATAGTCCACTTCGCAGATGACGACAGCACTTATTCTGCAGATCTTTCTGAGCAAACTAGGCAGATCAGGTAACTATTAGTCTATGATACAGACTACGCACCCTATTTCCCATGCTACTATTTATTTGTCTTCCCTTTGGAATTTGTATTGTCGGGAATGGACTTTTGTTGTGTGATTTTGCACTCACTATGAAAATATTGCACAGCCTTTGCTGGTGCTCAGTATGTTTGAAATCATGGATACGGTTTCTGGTTGTTCAGTTCTCTAATGGAGTACAGTGGTTTCATTAGAATTGAATCAGAAGGTATTCTTGACTTTCTATGTTAGTTATGACATAACTATCTGGTTCTCTGGATATTGTTGAGAGTTCATGCCTTTTTTCCTTGCCGCGGTTCATGAACATGGACAGTGGCCAAGTTAACAGTAAACATAAACAAAGATTTCGTGGAGGGGCTCCATTTGTAATGGAACTCAAGCTATTGGATGGCATGTGAATGAATCAAGTAGAAGATTTCAGAGATTCCATGCTGACATGTCAGGGTTTGCCTTCAATGGTATCATCATTTGGGATCCAAAACGATGAAATCGTCCAACTCCTGAACCTATCAGGCAGCTTGAAATAGTCAAGGATGGCTTCCAGGTCAGTACCTCTTGTTTTCCTTCTCATCTTATTCCTTCAGTACTCTACATTGCAGCTTGATGGCTGTTGCTTCTGCTCTAGTAAAAATGAATAATCTGTATATTTTCTGGCCTCCTCCTCCCGCTATTACAGGTATGAAAATGATAAAATATACTAAAAGAATGAAGCTTGTTTTTGGCAAATTTGTCACTATCATGGGCTAAATACTTTTAATCGGGTGATAGTGATACAGACCAAAGCATTGCCCTCCATAAAGATAATCAATAAAGGCCAGAAACATTTTCAAGCACATCTTCAGCGAAGACATATCCTTCTTTCTTCCAGCCTTGTCTTGTTTCATTTTTTTTTCCCTGGAAAAAATGTGACGCATTCTTCATCCAACAATTCGCTACTAATACTGGGCTTTGGCTCCAATAATTAACTCCACTTGTCTGCTCTTGCAGGTTTGCACATTTATCGAGCAAGTTATGGAAGATGAAGCCTAATGGAAGGCTTCCTGGAGGACTGCTCAGGAGTCATGGCCTGGCATCTACAGCTTCAATTTCACATTCCAGGGAGTACATCACCTCCGATTGGTTAGCAAGCCTCAGCTGGAATCCGTCTCCTGCTTACTGATAACCTACAGGGAGCATTTCTTTGATTTAACTTGTGCCGCCTGGCATTTCAAGTGCTCTGCAAAGAAGGATGAACATATTCTGTCTAACGAGATGGACATACCTTTTACCTTTGAAGAAAAATGCATCATGTAACATTTGAGCTAGTGTATTATGCCTTCATGATTTGTTTCTTGTTCTCTTTTCTTTCTGTCACTGACATTTTCTGATAATTATTGGCGCCCCAGGCGGAATGCATCCAGAATCAAACTGGTTAGGGGACGGATGGTTGAAAGTGTAAACCATCCTCGAGTTCAAGCACAGCCCCAACATTTTTCGTATTTTCTTTAACGCTTAAGGTATCCTGCGTGCAAAACTCAAAGCAATCTTGGGAAATTTACTTGTTACCTGCCAGTGTCTGATCAACTGCACAGGCTTCTTCTTGAATTTTCTTTTCTTTATATGCAGCAACATGCCATTGATGCAACGAGCTTCTGTACTCTGCCTTGAATATCATTCAAGAGAGCGATAACGTAGGTTATGAATACAAAAGTCAAGGGCTAGTGCAACCTTTCACCCTCCCAAAGGATGGAAGGTGCACCGGAAGCAACTTCGGAAACTGTGGTTGTAAAGTAAAAACATTGAATTTGCATGCGAGATCAAGAATTTCATTGCCGTTGTGATTGGACCAGGTAACTGCTATTGATAAATAGATTGTTTTAAGAAGCTTTAAATTAGATGTAAGAAGCTTTATTTACAAAATGTCGATATGTCCGAGTGGTTAAGGAGACAGACTCGAAATCTGTTGGGCTTTGCCTGCGCAGGTTCGAATCCTGCTGTCGACGCTTCTTTTCTTTTACCTAGCTATGACGAACTACTGGTCGTTTGGATACTCTTATAATTTTGCTTCTCGCAAGCTATTCCAGGAATATGTTCCTTTCTTTGTCTCTAAAAACGATACATTCCTCCTCGATATGGCACTCCTCTTCTTTTATTATTTTTTTCTTTCGTTTGGAATATCATTCTAAATAGTGTTTTATTTATTTTTTATTTAAAATTAATTTATTTTTTTATATATTTTTACATCGTTTTTATATATATAGTAATATTAAAAACAATTTTTTTAATGTTTTTTTAAATAATACTTTAAAAACCAACCAATATCATTCTTGTAAACACTATCTTACACTACAATATTATATATTATTTGCATCCTTTTCTTTTTGGGTTTGAAAGAAATTCCGCAGAACAACATAAAAAGGTGCTAAAATTCACTTCACATATCTGTTTCTTGCAAAATAGAATGAGTGCTCCTCACTTCATTCCCATCTCTTCTTCCTCTAGAGAATTAAACTTTCTTCACAACTCCTAGCCATCTACCTTCTCTTTAATTTCCACATCTGATCAGGCATTACTAGCTAGCTAGTGGTATGGTGCCTAACTTGGACCTCATCCTCCTTGCGTTGCTCTATGGCTGTTTCATTGCTTGTGTAGTAGTAGCTATCATCTTTGCAATCTTGAATGCCCTATTACTTGCATTCTTTCTCACACTCTTCTCCATTGCCATAATCGATCTTCAAGATGTGCTCTCTTTTGTTTCTCGGTTCGCTCTGCCTCTAAAGGAAAATCTTAAGCTGGGGTTTGCTCTACTCGTCTGCATGGTCATGTATCATGCCATCGGAGCCATGTTGGCTTCAAAACCTTTATTTGAACGCATGGTTTCTGAAATCAAAGTGAATGTTCGACATGTTTTGAGCCCTTTTGAAGTTTTAGCTACCTCTTGTTGAGACTTGAAGAATATCATGAAGCTTTTCAAGTCATCTCATGTTTTGACATGATCAGAACTGCTCAAGCAAATGGCCGGCCCAACGAAGAGAATGAGTAGCTATATATCATCAGTTCTGTATGTATCTTGACTCCTCCATGTCAGTAGGAATCAATTCCCTTCTTTCATGTTGTGCTTAGTAAGACATTTTTCCTGCTTAGAAAATAACGAAATCCGAATCATCAGTGATCTTCTTGTTCAACACAGTAATAACGAAATCGATCCAGACACATGACACATGCCATGTATCTAATTTTATTGAATTAGATTGTTTTTTTCTTACTTATGTTTTGGTAATCATGTTTTAGATCCTTAGTCATTTTTTGTTTTCTTGTTGAGAATATATTTTAGATAGGTGATACATGAAAAATTAAAAAGAGTGCAGAGCTTGGACTGAGTTTGATACATTCCAGACGAATTTCTTCCATTATATGTCACTATGAAAGTCAAATTCCTTTCATATATACAATTCATAATGGGAAATATTTATATAGATTTTTTCATAAATTAGATCTAAAAAATAATGACTAATTAATGATTTTTTAATCATTAATAATATGATATTATATTAAAAATTAAATTAATTTAAAAATTTAAATTATTATATAAAATTTAAAGAATAAATTTATCCTTCAATGAGTTAACCATAAACTTTGTGAAAATCAATGAATAATAATCAAATTATTAAAATATTAATTATTTAAATAGATCATAACATAAATATCTGTCATCATAATATAAATACGATCATGCTTTGTCATTTTAATAGTACAAGTACAAGAAGATAAAAGTGCAGTTTGTCTTTATAATTTAAAAGTATTTTAAAAAAAAATTAAATTTATTTATTTATTCTAATTATTATGTTTTTAGTGTTTTCGAATCATTTAATTTGATATGTTGATATTAAAAATAATTTTAAAAAATTAAAAAAAATTATTAATACATAGTTTAACATAAAAAATTATTTAAAAAATAATCTTTAAAAAATTAAAAAAAATTATTAATATGTAGTTTAACATAAAAAATTATTTAAAAAAGAATTATAATTATACAGATAAACAAAAAAATATCCTTTTCTTTTCTTTCCTTTTTTTTTTTTTTGTCTTTCTTGGAAAACATCGTAGCTGATTCTCATGAACTCAGTGAATAACGCATGCAATGCAAAGTATATATAAATATATACATGTTATGTATCAAAAATTTAATGAAATATGGATTTTAGATCAAAGACAATATATGTGTATATAACATTCCTTGCATCAATATGGGGTTAATGCTTGCAGCAGATAACATTATTCCTTACGTCAACAACAATATATTTTCACCTTTTCTAATTCCAATTCATTTTTTTATATAAATATCTTATTCGATTAAACATAAATTACAGTCCTGTAGATTTAATAACAATATTTAACTTCATCACGTTCAATTTATATAAAAAAATTACCAAGACAAAAATTTAAACATATAAAAATAACACTAACATTAACGAAACTTAATAGGTACCTAGAAAACACTGCATATAATGAGTAAACACAATATTTACTATAACAGTACAATGATAATTTTGTTTTTCCCACAAAAAATCTTTGAAATAATTATTGGGGATAATAAAATCTTTTTATAAAATTTATTAGTTATTATTATATTAATTTTGGATAAATATTTTTTTTTGTATTTTAAAAACATAATGAAACAACTAAAATACATTTGAGAGCAATAATTTTAAAACTATCATTCATGAATTTTTTTAGTATTTTCATACATTTTTTCATTATAATCAAGTTGGCTAAAATATAATTTAATATTTTAATAATATAAAACATGGTTAAAAAATAAAAAAAAATAGTTGGCATGCCAACCTGTGCTCTTCAGGTGGCGCCTTTTGGCATCCAAGAATCCCCTTATATCATATCATTAGAATAATTACAATTTCTTGGTGGGATGACTCGTGACAACGATGAAGGAGTTTATTGTTGGTGGTGTTTTTTTTTTTTATATATTCTCCCTCCTTTTACTTTTGATCATTTAAAATTTTAGAGTTATTTTTTTATTTATTAAAATTTCAATTTTAATTCTTATTTTTTTATTTCTAGTTTTTGTTCTTCTAAAATTTCAATTTTGATCCTTATTTTTTTATTTCTAGTTTTTGTTCTTGATTTTTTAATAAAATTTTGATTTATTTCATCCTTTAATCCCAATTTGTAATTTTTTTTTTAATTTGATTCTCATTCTTTTGATAGTTTTTTGAGGTCATTTTGTTAAATTGATTTTTCTTTTCAATTTTTTCCTTCAATAAAAAAAAATTATAATTGTCATCTAATTTATTTTTTATTTTAATGTCTAATTTATTTTTTATTTTTATTTTAATTCTTATTTTTTGAATTGTTATTTTTAGTTTTGGATCCTTTTATATAATTATTTTTCAATCTCATCTATTAATATTTGATTGATTATGAATTGTGTTTTGTGGATTTTTTAGATAGAGTGTTTCCAGTCTCATGACCTGAGTCATAAGTTTGAGAAGTTAATGCAAGTTGACATAATTTTTTCTTTACTTATTTTCTTTGTCAATTTCATTATTTGACATTAGTTTTTTTTTTTAATAAGCTTTGTGATTTTTTTTTTATCGAGCTATCTTGATCTCATGATCTAAATCGCGGAGTTGGTGAGTTAATTTAGGTTGGTCAGCCCTTATAACCTAAATTGACTCGATCCTTATAACTCAAGTTACAAGTTTGTCATGTTAACTCGAGTTGACCCATAACTTTTTTTGTTATTTTTAACTAATTTTATTATTTTTTATATTTAATTAGTTGGGAATCGAGCTACATTATTTTTTTCTTTTGATAAAAGGTTTTTCTTATAGGTTATTATGATCATTTTTTTTCTATTTAGTCAATTTTCTATCATTTATTTAAAATAAAGTTATTTTATTTAATCCAATCAAGTATATGATTTGAGTTACAATATTTTCTTTTTCATTTTATAAAAGATTATCGCAGCACCTTAACATAATTTTTGAGGTAAAGAAATATGCTAGCTCCCAGTACATATATAATAGAGAACATTTTAAAGCGTTTTAAATATTTTCTTTCAATAAATAAATAAATAAGTGCACAGTTCATGTAAATTTTATTATATAAAGGGTTATATTGTTCTAAAAACTTGAACACTCTCGTAATTGGTTTGTATTGAATCAATAAATTATGATAAATAAACATGGAAACCAAATCGAAATCTGGAGTAATATTTGGAAGTCGTGCCTGTAATTTGCCCTAGTTAAAAAGGAGAAAGAAACGCTTACTTGAGTCCGTACAAAGGAGAAACAAACCAGCAAAGCACGCTTTAAACATCATATGGGTCCGTGCGTGCCCTAACAAACGGTTACCTTTTCTTTTCTGTCTATCAAATTCATATTTTGCTGGGAACTCTGACCAGCCAGCATCTTCTTCTTCTGGCAAAGCAAAAGCAAAAGCAAAACAAATCTTTAAGACATTTCTGTGATGGAAACAATAAACGTGCTTTACTCTCCCTATATTATCATCTTCAAGCTAGTAAGCCTTGTCGTCAATCTCACCAGTTGAAAAATCACTGAAGCTACAAAGATTCCGATCACCAAACAGTACTCAACTACTGTTGGATTCTGATAAGGATGGTTTGACAGTTGAAACTGAAAAATTTTCCGGTTCTGTCAGTGCTGCTTATTTGCGCCTACACCTCCTAATAAAGATCTCCGAACTCCCCAGAGCGGGTAAAGTTAGTTTTGTGATCTTAACATTAATACTATAGATTAAATTTGGGAATTGTTTTATAATTTTGATTTACATCTTGTGATATTTTTCCGATTGAATGATTTGCTT